CGCAAGAAATACGGTCTGAGGGGTTATAAAGTAACATCTCACGGGTCAAATCAAAAGCCAGGCGCACGTGTAAATCTTCGCTGGAAAACCAATAGTCACCAAGGGGTTTCAACGTCTTCCGAACGTGACGCGCATCGGAGGAATCGCTGGACCAGTCTAAGCGACCGTGACGGAAATACCTACGGCGCCTAGTGGTCCTCACCATGTTCTTCGGTAGTGGACCTAATACTCGCTCCATCATTGCAAGGTGTTCGAGATTGTCATGGGTCATGAACAGGCATTGACCAGTGACTAACTCGAACAGCATGCAGCCAATAGACCATACATCGGCAGCATGATCCCAACCGAGCTCAAGAACCACTTCTGGAGCGCGATAATGCCGAGTCTGTATCGTAGTCGGGTGGTGGTCTTCGTCGTACGTAGCGGAGCCGAAATCAATTAGTTTGATTGCTGGGTTGCGCACTCGGCGATACCTTCGGTTACGCTTGCTATCAAGGAGCTCATCGAACGAACCATCAACAAACAAAACGTTTTCGGGCTTTAGGTCGGTATGGGTGAGACCAATGCGGTGCAGAAACTCTACTGCTTCACACAATTGACGGGTTATTGCTGCGGCGTGTTCAGCGGGATAAGGGTGGTAATTATTCTGTTCCAGGAAAGAGAACACACTGGGGCCCAAAAGTGGGAAAACGAGGAAAAAATAACTGTGCCAATCGAAAAAGTCAAGGGAAGATATACAGTGGGAAGCGTTCTTTGAGTCCAACTTGGAAACGTTATCTAGGACATTCACTTCGTGCTTAGCTACGTCTCTGTAATCATCCTGTGGTTTTAATGCTTTGACTGCTGTCAGTGAGTTTGTGTACAAGTCAAAACACTCAAAAACTTGCCCATAGCTACCCTCTCCTAGTATCTTCTGTACACGATAGCGACGTTTGATGACATCCCCAACGGAGACAATCGGCGAAGGCTTCCGCTTGTGGCCCTCATGACTCTGCTTCCTGCGTGCCTTCTCCTCTCGTCGCTTCAGTGCTCGTCTTTCGCGTCTGGCCCGGACACCAACCCTTTCTGACCGTTTGGGCGAGTCGGGATGCCGACCATTACGTAAGGAACCGCACGGTGAATGCCCGCGAGAATCGTAGCCGCTTCTGCTACGATGGCCAGTTGCCCGTGAGGGTTTGGCGTTTGAAGGCTTGGTTGCCCGACTACGACCGATACCAGAAGGAAAAGAATGATTGGAACTGTCTCGTGACCACTCGTCATCATCACGCAATCGAACCGTCTTATACGCTCCCGTTGTGTGGTTGGACTTATGGTGTGAAACATGCGAACTACGTCTCCGCCTGCACCAACGGGAATAAAAACAATCACAGGCATGTTCAGAGATGAAAAAGAAGGAGTGAAGCAGGTGGAAACAGCATCAAAAAAATCACTACTTCAGTACCTTTTGTGTGAGTGTTCGGATCGGGGGAGCTTAGGGTCAGAACAGCCATATCCAGAGGAGGTCTTTTCTGTTGACGACGTCCGCTTCCGTTTTCCGCCGGAACTTGACGATGTGGAACTTGAGACCGTTGACTCTGATTTATGCCTTGTGCGCTCATTACGATATCTGTAATTGTAGCAGCATCTGTGATTACTTCTGGATCGGTGGCACCGATGGCGAGAAGCCTCGATAGTCGAGGACACCCGAACCTGCATTTCGGAGACCGAGACAGCAGACATAATGGATGTCCGGGGTTTAGTAAAACAATGAAAACACCAGAGTAACAAAATCGCATAACTTTTGTTATATTTTTAAAGTAATTCAATGCTAAAATTTTCTCCCATTCAGTGAATTGCTATAAATTATATTTCATATAAGGATTGAGCTATCAATCCTCGCGATGCATCATTATGGTCATCATCACTGGTAATAACTTTAGTTCAGTTCAGCTCAGTTTGCACAGAACGATGTGTGATCCAGACCAATCGTGCGGCCGTATAAATGTTTTTCGGCTGATCTTGCTGCTTCCAACACTTGGAGTCAATAGGTTTTGCCTGAAATGTAGAATGTGACCATATCCCATACTATACTGCCTTTCAGAAAAATTTCATATTTAAGTGTTGGAAGCCGAGGAACCTCACAGAAAACACACGAATCCGGACCCTCGATTAGCAAGAGCCACTAATCGTCCTGTGAGAAGTGAACTGAACTGAACTGAAAGCCGGGACGCGAGGAAAAGGCCTCAGGAACAGTGTAGTAATAGGTATCAACCCTCTCCGCACATGTATCTTTCCCATTTTCGGACCTTGCCGTTTTACTCGAACAAGACCACCTCGTTGGGCACGGTACGTCGACCTTTGTAGTGACCAACCAAATCCCATTATACCTGTACCCTTCCTCCTGTGTGTCTCAGCGTTTTATCACACCAAGGCCATCTCTTTGGTCAGTACGTGTTTGCATTCCCAGTCAGCACGAGCGTCACCGTTTAGTCACCGAAAACGCACCGTTTCGTCACGCGAG